GATTGAATGAACTGCCTTGTCCCAGCCTGACAGCCAGGCCCAGCTGCCTTGGCCTGGGACTCCCAGGCCAAGGCAGCGGGTGTCGATTTGTTTCGACTTGTTGCCCGGCTCCTTCCTTCCTGCCATAGCTATCCTCCCCCTTCCTGTATATTGCACAACATCTAAGTTCGGTTTAAACTAGCTCAACAAGGTTGAGGTGTCTAGTATACGAACCTCACGTTGATCCCACCGCACTCCGAAATACACGGCAATCTGTTGAAAGCCGTTTTCTTCGCGACTACCTGACATATTTTGATCGAAGACATGCGGTTGCATGGTGATCCGACGAACGGGATGTCGTAGCGTTACCTGAGTTAATCCGTCGGTGATAGGCGATAAATGAAGAATATCCTTACCGGAGCCGAACTTCTGCAGATCTCAAGTGAAGCGACAGTGCAAATGTTACAAATCCTTTCACGACGATTACAGAACCTTTTGGGACAGGTATTCACAACGTAAGATGTCTTCAATGGAGACTCTTCATAAAAGCGTGTCTATCACAGGCAAGATTAAACGAGTGGATACCGCCTCGAACTCGGCGTAAAATAGAGAATCGGCCAACGGGTATCAGTGCCATGTCAGCTATTCTATGCACTGGTGAGATAGGGTACGTGCTAGCCAGTACGCGCATACCATTCTCTGATGATTCTATTATGAGGATTCCTATAATGTGGAATGATTTCATAGTGAAATTTTCACTGGACTCCGCTGGCATCCACCGACACGGATTCAAAAAAGGTCATCAGTGTTCATGAGAGACTCTCATTAAGAGTGAGAAAAATAGTCAGACTGCATGTCTCAGTTTACTTCCCTGTCGGCCTTTGCTTTCCTGGGCCGGTCAGGTCTGTCAGCTGTTGCCATACCCGTTGTTCGACGATCCAGATCTCTTGCTGCTTTGGCGCCCCTCGAGAAAAATGATCCAGGTGCTCGGAGTTCTCCGCGCCCTCGAACGATTCGACGAAATTAGTCGTCGAAAGAACGGCGACACTGCATCTCTTGAACTCTCGTAACATTGCATTTGACCTTCAGAGTGGTATGCTGCGACCTCGATAGACTAAAGAAGTTGTTGAGAAGGTAGAGTTTCAAACTAAGCTACCAGGGTAGCAATGACCTCTACTATCTTTGTTCGTAGTTCTTGTTGAATGGATTTGCACTGGGTGACAGGCTATCACAAGCTGTTGCACAGGCTGTCAGTGACACTGAGCTCCCTTTGGGGAGGGTGGAGAACGCTGTCACAGCAATCGTGTGTTATTGTCATTTTACCGTTGCATAAGGCCATTGCCTGGCATCTCCATCATTGTTGTGGAAGTGAAAATCTCGCAGTGAGATTGCTACGGTGCGCAAATAGATGGTTGCTGGTCTCGGTTTTATGCATTACTATCTGTTCGACGGCGGGTTTAAGTTCATCAGCTCAGATTTCCTCAATGTGACCGTTGAAGATGGGATTGAAGTGCGTTAGGACTCCCCTAATCCTCCGTGGAAGCTTGCACCTATCGGAAGGACTCCTTTACGAGGAGACATTCTGCGATGTCGCATCTTTAGATGGAGCTATGGAGCGTTCTGCGGCAGAAGTTCTGCCGCTCTTCGTCCCGATTTTTGTTATCAAATTTTATGTCAATATAATGTCACGTTGCGAAAAGGAGTTTTGGAGTGCGAGTTTTCATGAGTTTCAAAGAGATGGCTAAGAAGCCATCAAGCAACGATACTCAGTGTGAGTGCGGGTCATTGTGCAAATGCTCCCGCACGTGCATGTGATCGGTGACCCTAGATAAAACTGCTCTTCACCGTGAAGAGCAGTTGGTCACCCCCGACATGCTTTTCTACTCCTATCGTCCCTGTTCGCCCCCTTCGTTATGGTTCTCTCTGCTCAACGATGGCGATGGTCGCAGAAAACGCAACAGATGCATTTTACGAATGTAAACCTTCAACTTGATAACGGCATTGATGCTGGGCCCCAGCAACTGGGGAACCATTCACCGAATGGTGAGTCATTTCGATGACGACTAATTAGAGTAGGGCCTTCCTCCTTGACGGAGATGATAATGGAATTGCTACTAGTAATCCTAACCGACCGAAGGCAATTCTAGCACGGTATGTTTGAATACTCTGATTCGACGGCCACACTGCGGCCGACGGTGGATGGGAGGAGCGGAAGTGACCCCCATGAAATAGGCGATAATCGGGATTATACTACTAATACTACATCATGATTACTGTATAAATCATAGCTATTCTAAATCGGGACTATACTTTAGGGAAAATAAAAAGGGAAAAACATCAACAACATCATACCGGAGAAGATTGTTATACAATAACGACGGGAACAGAAAACAGATTCTCCTTCAGAGCAACGCTTTATAAGCATTGAATTAACGGCAAAAACGTGGTGGTGATGGTGATGATGACATCATCATCAACAACAACGACAGACCATACCATAAAGGTTCGTCACTTGGAGCAACACCGGAAAATCGATAATTCGAGGACCAATCACATCGCGGAGCCTTCACCACCATTGCCGAAAAGAAACTTGATACAGCGAGAAGAAAAAGCAACCGAGTCGTATATATAGCAGAGGATGATAATGACAATCAGACGGATGGAGATATCAATGGTACCTTCCTTGGCGCTCAATAGTAATGTAGGAAAATGAGTACACGCGACAAAACTATTCAGGAAAACGCGCGTGAGAAAATTTCGAGGAAGTTTTTTTGCCACATATCGGTCTCCTTCTCGAACGAAGTCCATGAAAAAGTTTAGTTGGGGTACTTGCAGCTTGGGTTTGATGACACTGCTAGGAAGTAGAAGAAAATACGCTCCTTGGAAGCTTTGGAAGGTCTGCACTCCTTAGGCGCTGTCACGGTCTTGGCGATCGACCGACGATACCCTTGAAAGAGCAAAAGAGATGATCCGAAGAATTGAGCCGACAGCCTTTCCAACTAGCATCCAACGCTCTAACACTACACCATGAAAGTAACACGAATACTCACTTCTGTTTTTCCTCATTCCCCGGATCAGTCGTGATATCCTCATCATCGGTTATTATCCTGACAGTAGTAAAGACTTCACACCACTAACGAATCGAAGAGCCCAACACGGCACTATATGGCATCATATTACTGAATATCAAAACTCGTGTCGCTCAAGCGTGGAACAATCATCACTTAAGGAGTTGATCTCAACGATACAAATCGATCAATCGATCGATAACGTGTCCTCTCCCAACTTACTCGATTTTCACGAATCTTCCGCGCCTATGCAGTCGATGGCCTTGCGGAGGTGTATCCTTTCTGCTCCTCACGGGTACAGATCTTGACGATTCCGTAGACGTTGAGTTCAACCTGATTAAGATGATGCCCAAATATTCTTCCGCACAGCGAAGAATCTGAGATTCGACTCGGAAAATTTTCCATACGAAATTGGTTATTGATTCCATTCACTCACTTGCCGCTTTCAGACTTTTCGCCCGAGGCTCCGTCATGGTGGCCGCCGTCCACCAAGGGAAGACAACAGACAGGACTAAGAGGAATCTTAGGTTCACGCGAACAAGATACGAAACAGGTTACCCCATCTCAAGCTTATCATCATCTTCTACAATTAAAACCCTCTGACGACACTTTGAAGTACGCGGTTTCTGAACATAATACCAAAATCTTCGCTGTGCGCAACTCAACATTGAGATATGCTCACCGTATCTGGAAGATTCCTCGACAGCCCGCTGAGCTCAACTTCAGTATCAATCATCGCAGCCAGAGGCATCTTCGAGGAATTCGGAAAAATAAAATCTTCTGCGTGCGCAAGATACTCCCAACGCACCCAAGTGCCCCCTCTAATCTACGAAGCTCATTATCACAACTTCCAAGAAACATGCAGTTGGATGAAGACTAGAAAGACTAGTTACGTACGTTCAGCTCGGAAAATACTGAAGCTTCCACTCGTTTTACGTGAAGTGGCTGAATACTCCATGTGAAAAACGTGATATTCGCGACATGGAGTGAATAAAAAATACTTCGCGAATTACACCTGACAAATCACCACATTTCACGAATACTACTTCCAGCATTTCGCGATAAACGCGAGAAACTCCTTGAGCGATCAGCGTTTTACACCATTCATTTTCTCTTCTTTAGAGAAGTAAGCCGCATGGAATGAATTCCGCTCACGAACATAAATTTCACGTGAATAAAACACGTTTTCGCGGATATCACACTCTGTGATAGTAGATCGCGGTGGACTTCGAGAAGATGTGTAAGACACGTATAAGACTTTACTCTCATTCTTCGCGAAATAACAGCATCAAATAGAAAAATCGCGCTTTACACTGGAGTTTCACCCAAGTGATATGAGAAACATTAGTGAAAACCATATTTCACAACTACTGCATTTCATAACTACGCGAATATCCCCTTTTTCACAGAGTATTTCGCCACTTCACGTAAAACGGGTTGTGAAACTCCACTATATTAATCACATATAGAGAATCGTCAGGATGAACTTGCGGCAAGATATGACTATGGTGTTTCTATGTTAGTATAACACACTGACCAAACCGTGCACGCATACCCAAAACTATGGGGAACACGCGTCGCGCGTGACAAAGCGCACAACATGGAATTTCTATATTGTGCACATGGTGACACGGAATCTCCAACACTAATTTCCCCAGCCCCAGTGGATACGATAGTACAATAGTTAGACAAAGGCTCAATATTTGCAACGATTCCCAAAATTCATTCAAATCGATTGTACCATGGTCAGTGTTGTAGTCGGGCATACCATATGTAAGCGCGTCAACGCTACCCACAACAGTGGCTACATCGTGGCACTTATAAACGGTATGGGGTTGGTTATGAATATGGTGGTAATGAGCAGCACTAGCCTCAGCCAGCTAAAGGATCTATTCATGGGCCTCAAAGATCGTATATCAATCACCCCTGGTGGATCATTGACAGTGTTCACTGATAATTGCTGCTGTGGACAGCAGTCGGAAACACTGAAAGACCTGCCGCCCGTTCAATAAACCAATTCTGAAGCTCAGAATTCGTTTCCAGAACGATTTTCTTAAATCTTGTTCATAGAATCGATTCTGGGAACGATCCTGGAATCATTTCCAGAATCATTTTTGAACGTGTTCAAAAACGTCCTCGCGCGTTTCCGAAATCAGTTCCAGAACCGCGAATTTCAGAATGGCCTGGAGTGGTTCTGAGCATTTCGTGGCGCGTGACTTTGCTGTCTACTTCGTAGATTCCACAAGGAAAAGCTCCCTTTCACTTCTCCAGGAGAAGTTACACTCCTTTTCCTTTCTTGAACCAATTACAAAGAGAGCTTGAAGCTCTCGAAAAGCTGACACTGCGTGAGGAGCTAACGCTCTCTAGACTGTGGGAAAGGGAGCTGGTACTACAGATTGCTATTTACGAAGCAAGGCTGAAGAAACCAGGGGAGCCGATTCCCGTATCATCAAGCCTTGCAGATGCTGTTTTAGATGAACTTGCGGCCCGATTGCTGGGTTATCCTTAGTGTAGTTCCTATTAGCTGTCTTGGGAGCATGAGTTTTCTTGAAACAATTAGATTGAGTCTAGTTAAGGCTGGTAGTAGCAGCCTATTACTATTTTATTTTTTCTCGTGTGTTGCTTGTAATAGTAAGTGGTTCATTGATTGTAGTGTCAGTATTTGCAATATGAATGATGAATGATGTGGTTCTATTGTCGTGTGTAAGCTAATTTTTGGCGGTATGCAACTTGTTTTGTTGACCACGCCGCAACTGAACGCAACTGGAAGCTAATTTTTACGAGAAACAGTTCATAATCATGTCAATTGTCATTATCAACGTTATTGTTGTTATCACCGTTCCTCATGAGGGCCAAAAAAGACGCTGCCAGATTGGGGTCCTCCCACAAAAGCAGCTGCTCGACCCCTTGAAGCCCACCCTCGACCAAGCCATCACCGCCCAAGGGCTCATTCATATAATTTTCATCCCGAATGGCTCTGCGGATTTCGGGGTCAATGTAGTCGATGGCATTGAACGACTCTCACCCTCTGCGTATACACAAGTTGTGAAGAACTACCGCCGCCTCGATAACCTTCGTAGCTTGAACTGGCAACGTTCAAGGCAACGTTCAAGTCGTTCGTACGACTGGGCATTACGAACGATTGGAAAGCTTATGAAACGCAACAAATGCCAATGTGAACAACGCAATGCAAGTTGCGTTACGGAACAAATCTTGAAAATGAAAGTGCGCTGTCGTAGACCGCGGGTTCGATCCCTGGAGTTAGCAGTATTCGTGTATTTATATCACGATTTTGGAAGCGTTTCCGGAAGCGATTTCAAAAATTGCGTTTGTTGAGCACTTGTCAGAATCGTTTCTGGGATCGCTTCCAGAATCGCTTGTGGATTTTCAAAATCGTGTTTATTGAACATCATCTCAGAAGCGTTTTTTAAAATCGATTCTCAGCAACGTTTCCAGAATTGCGCGTAGCCTTGTC